GGTCATACAAAGTATTAAAATGTTAAAAGTCTTTCTTTAGATAAATCATTCGGTTTTCAGATTAAAATTCGTTTTTATTTACTAATTTATTTATTTATCTATTTATTTTTATTTATTTATTTTTCGGGGGTGGGGGCAGCATTTAAATAAAAGTTGCCGTTTCTTTATTTATAGTCGCCTTTTTCTTAAGGAATGTCAGTGGCTCTACTCAGGTGTCAACTCTGAAATAATGCATAGGGGGCACCTTAAGTAAGTCTTCCTTCACCGGTAAAGCTGGAAAGTCGTCATATGACCTCTACTATGTTGGTACGACGTGAAACCAACTTAAAAAATATATTTTCGCCCTTTCTTTAATTTATGCGTGACCTTTGTGTGAGTGGACATGTGTTCTTGAAATAATTTAAAGTGCCTGTCTTGATAATGCATAAATTTGATATTCGCAACGGCTTACAGACACTATCCTAATTATCATCATTTTATATACTAGTATATTCTTGTGCACTTGCTTTATCTTTTTTGTGGTTGTTGTATCTTGTTGTTTGTTGTTATTGCTGTTGTTTTTTTTTCTTTTGTTTTCTATTTTGTCGTTGTTGATTCGTCCGTCCGTCCGTAAAATTTTATTTTTAATCGACATCTGCTCATAAACCACTATGCCAATTTCATCCAAACTTCCTTTGGTGGTCACCTTTAAAAATTGTACAAAGAATTTAATTCCATGCAGGACTCTGGTTGCAATGGCAACCGAAAGAAAAATCTTTAAAATATCTTCTTTTAAAAATTAAACAGCCAATGGAGCTAGAGCTTAGATATTCGGCATGAAACATCTTCTAGTGAGTGTCTACCAAGTGTGTTCAAATAAAAACCCTGGGGTCTTATATGTATCTACCAATATTGTTTAATTGTATAGTGTATAGAGCCTTTTTTCTGTCATTTTCGTCGCCAAGAAATCGGTTCCCCGCATATTATAAATAACAAGAGCTTGGAGAGCCCACGGCCGCTTTCATGATTTGTAAATCACTAGGGCAAAAAAAATCCATTTTTGAATCCTCTGTCGAAATTAATCTAAATATTAGATTTTTTTTCTTTAAAGGCACATTAAGCATCAGATATAAATAAGTTTTTTTTCTTTCTTAAGAATGTAAGCATGTGTTTAATAATGTTAAATAATGGATAAAGAACAAGTGAGATGATTATAACGAGACAAAACAGCTGTGAAAGTAAAATAACTTGTCATAAAGAAAGCAAAATATTAAACCAGTGTAACTGTTATTATCGCCAAAACGCAAAAAAAATACAAGAAAATATGCCTAAGCTATGTGGCCAATGAGTACTTTTTGGAAACTTAAACAGTACACCAAAAATAAAAAGCTTCTGAGAAATAAAAAAAATAATAGCATTTTAAGGCTGAATGGGCCTAATATTCGACATTTAACACCTATATTCTACAAATCGATTTCGAAGGGATATTAAATAGTCATAGATGTTTACTTTTCCTTATTAATCGATAGTAATTCTGCAGCTTTGCGGCCAAATCATAAATTTATAATGTATCTCATACCGTTTTCTACTATATGATTCAATAAAACGGGGAATCTATACTGAATTGTAAACGTATTTTGTTATTTTATACTCGTGACTTTAAAGTTGACTTCTGTTTAATGAGGGTTCATCCCCCTATAAGGCATTAACTGCAGCTTTCGCTGTCGATTACAGACCCCATTTCTTCAAATCTTCTGTCGATGCCATGTGCCTTCTCAGCGACGTATACGCACCGATGGGTTGTGAGAAGACGGTGAAAAAGTCTAAAATGGGCACGTTTTATAAGTACATGCAAATGTACTGTTTAAACAAAGAAGTGTATCATTTGGATATTCATATTAAATATTTCTTGGAAAAAGAAAGAAATGTTGAGTTCTAAATTATCTAATATGAACATTTATATGATGAATGATAATATTTTGTTCTAGAACATTTTTATCTGCGAAGCTACATTTTCTTTCATTTAATTTCAATTTATTACTATAATTGTTTCAGTTACTGTTTATTACTGTATAAAATTTAATAAAGAAACTGATCAGTTTAATTTTCCAGTACATGTACTTGTATTTTATTTATTCCTCCTTTCTTAGTTAAGTATGATTTTACCTTAAAATATAAGAATAAAATTATGACATCCTGATAAGCTTAGAAGGGACAGCATTTGGTCTATAGATCTTCAAGTTGCAAGTTTATGTGAGGTATGGAGCATGTTGCCTTTAAAAACTATTGACATGTCAAAGGCTCAAATTTCTTTCAAATAGTATATAATATTGTATATAAACCATTTCGAAAATTGCTCATGAACTCAAAAGCAATAAAGTGTTATAAATAAAAAATATATACCAATGCCTTGTCATGCACATGGTTGATCATGTAGTGTTTTGTTATTGATGCCAAAATTTGCTTTAAAAAACATGCTTTATTCTAACTAAAATATCTAATGCGTTTTAGTCATATACTGTTTTCTTTAAAGAATTATTGGAATAACTGAACTAAATTTGAAGTTTGCAATGAAAATCTTGAACAGCTTAAAGCTGTTATATTGAGCTGTATTATAAATAAATACAGGTGTGCCATGAACAAGAGCATGCTTTATTTTGTTGACTTTCCTTTTAACTAACATTTAAATCTGTAGTGTGATATTGTTTGTTTGTTTGTTTCATTTATTTGATCGGGGTTTTCAATACAGTTTTGATGCATTGTACATAGAGTGATTCGTGGTACATGTATCGCTTGTTAACCTTACAGTTACAATATGAAGGTCAATTTGAAAAGACTTTGAAGGCGGGATAAAGCACACAAGACATATAAGGCAAATAATCAAAAGAAAACTATCTCAGGTTAAAGCATCTATATAAAAAGGAAACAAGATTAGCATACCTTAATTACCTTGAAGATATCCTCCATGTGAACGCCGACAACTCCACAACACCAACATAAACCAAGTAATAAAAATTATACACCCTACTCAAGCACTCCAGACAAGACTCCAATGTCATAGATACACTGAAACACCAAAAACAAACTCCACACTGCAGACATGTAAAGATGAAGCCTCAATTCTAAATCACCAATTTCAATCTGTCTTTACTGAATCTAAGTTTTTTCTTTCTCTCAAATCATTGACTAGAATGGAAAAAAGAGAGAAAATAAGAATCCCAACACGGCAAAATTAGTCAAGGATATGGCAGAGGCAGGTTCAGAGATACCCAATATCAAAACTATAGCCCCCATAAACCAATGAATGACACCCAAATATCTGAGAAAGGCACATGAGAAGCTTCTCAGTAATCTAAATCCACACAAGGCTGCAGACCAGACCAAATAAGACCAATCGTTTTAAAGGCGGTAAGTAAAGAAATATCCCCGATCTTGACCAAGTTATTTCAAAAGTCCCTCCATTTAAGCACACTGCCTAATGTATGGAAAATGGCAAACATAGCTCCAGTTTACAAGAAAGGCTCAAAGTCAGACACTGCCAACTACTGCCCAATATCTCTTACCCGTATCTTATGCAAACTCGCAATACATACTACCAGACACTTTACAAACAACAAAATGTTCTATGAATTGCTGCATGATTTCCGAGAAAAGAGATCTTGTTAAACCCAACTCCTTATGTTAGTCGATGACATTCTACAATATGTTAATCAAAAAAGTCAAGTCGACCTCATATACTCCTTGACTTTTTTAAAAAGCTTTTGACATTGTCAACCATGAGAAACTCCTCTATAAGCTGCATTTCTATGGAGTAAGGGGAGTAACTCTCAAACAGATTAAGTCTATCTAAGACAATAGGTCACAATCAGTAGTACTTAGTAAATGGCTCCTAGTCTACTACCATCCCAGTCTCCTCTGGTGGCCCCAAATGTCCAGTTCTAGGACTTTTCTTATTTCTTATTTATTACATAAATGACCTTCCTGACACTGTTAAACACTCTAAAGTTCGACTCTGCAGATGATACAGCAGTACATCTTTCTCTATCTGTAGCTTCTCACTCCTACCATCTACAACAACACAAACATCAACTAGAAACATGGGAATCAAAATGAGACATGCAATTCAATTCTTCAAAATGCCAGGTTATCCAAATAACAAAACGAAAGACACGAATACCAACACAGTACTCTCTTCACAACACCATCCTGGGATCAGAATCATCAGCAAAATACACGGTGTCACATTCTCAGAAAAAATAACCTATAACACATCACACATTGACAGCAAAGTAAAAAAGGCAAACCAAACACTAGGCTTCTTGCGGCATAACATTAAAGTCCACTCAGAGCCCTTTAAAGATACAGCCTACAAGACACGTGTCAGGCCCAAGCTTGAGTACAGTTCATGTATCTGGTCCTATACACTGGAGCTCTCGTCGACCAGATTGAGTCTGTGCAGCGCCGGGCTGCACGCTGGGTCAAAAATGACTATACCAAAACATCAAGTGTTTCTTGCTATGCTTGACTCCCTTGGGTGGAGAAGCCTATCAAAAAGACGCATCTGATCATGTTTCACAACATCTTACAAAATAAGATTGCCGTTTTCCTGCCAGATTATCTCAAACCAGTAACAAGACCAACTCGTAACTCCCATTCCCATGTTTTCAACCAAATCCACACAACTACTACAAATATTCATATTTCCCTTGGACAATTTTTCATTGGAATGCCTTACCACCCTAGACCTTGTCTCCATGTCTGGTACGTCCCATGTTCAGTAATTAAGGCTGTAAAACAGATTAAACGTGTCTCACCCTAGACACACCTGTCCAGTGTTTTTTTTATCTTTTAAAAACTTTTATTCTGCTTTTATACCTGTTTTTATCCGCAAAGTCTAGGTCCCCAGCTAGGGGCTTGACGCAATGATAGGGCTTGACGCAATGATAGGAAATTAATTAGTGGTGTTCAACCAACAGAGGACGAGTTGACCATAGGACGAGTTTGCTCATAATCGAAATGAAACGAGGACGAATGCGTTAATTGTCACTTCCGGCTGTCATTCCACGCGTCAAAAACAAAACATTGGAATAAATTGTATCGTTTTTGGATATTTTTAATTCATTTTTCAATTGAGTTTCTCCATTTTATAACAGGACAACTAAGTAACTATTCTCAGAAGTGTTCACACGACTAGAAAATATAAACTGAATGTTTAAACCGCTTTAATTTTCAATTGATAATTTTGCTAAAAATCTAAATTTGTTAATTGGATTAATTATCAAAAGCAAGTGATATTCGTGTGCTAAACGTTTTGTCAAAAAAAGCATTTATGAGTGAGAATAATTGTAAAACCAAATAAAAAGGAAAATCAGCAAAAATGACAGCGACTGGAGGGACGACTGGTCCTGGCTCGAAGAGCCCTGTTAAAATATTTGCCAACATTTTCATCTCCTTTATTGGTGCTGGTGTTCTTGGATTGCCATTTGCTTTCAAAGAGGTATATCTTTATAAACATTTTGTTCATTCAGGCCTCGATAAATTTTCTAGGGTCACTCCCTCGGCAATTTACTCGCCCTTCATAAAATGTACTCGCCTTCCATAGGGGGGGTGCGGATATTTTCTGGAATAGCCCATTTTGACGGGCAAAATTTCAAATTTACTATTTACTGGTCTATATCAGCCTTTATTCATTTACATATTGTTAAATTAAGTTTATAACACTTATCATTCTTTTGATAGATCTATATAAATCAGACTTCCTGAAAGTTGAAAAAAACTTTCAGACATTCGGTCTGACAAACCATGAAAATCTGTCGGACCAAAACGAAATCTGTCAGACCGAATAAAATTGATCAAAATCAAAGAAAAACCTTGTGTTTGTATTTCTGAGACACTTTTTGGTTTTAATTTTTTTGCCGTAAAAATAGGCACATTCCGTACAGCGCATTTTCATCTCCTCCCTGCCATTTCATCCTTTTACTGCTGTTCTGCGCGCTCCTCTGACATAGATTTTCTATTTTTCCCAGGTTTGGCACCTTTAGCGACGCCATTTTGTTTACATGCGGCTTGCATAAAAGCCGGACAGTCGGACCGATCCGGAATAAAAAATCGTCGGACCTGATCAACATATATCGGACATGTCCATCGGACGGACGTATTTCAGGAAGTCTGATAAATTATAATCTTCAAAAAATCCTGAATACTTAATTAAAGCACACACGCACTCGGCTAAAATATCAACCTCTTTGCCATAAGTATAAAAAACATTAACGAACGCGTAAATATAAAACATTGTCGAATGCAGCTGTCATTACGGAATCAATTCATTATACGCATTCAGTAAGGTCAGTGATTTTTCTCACTTAATTAGGAAGAGGCCTTATCCTCTTGATTTTGGGAAAACTTATCGCTAAAATTTTTGATTTGGGAAGTAAAAAAGCTGGTTTAAGTTAAGATTTTTGGGAGAACTGCATGATTTTAAAGAAAATTTCAATTGGGAAGAGGCGTTTTTTCGATGTCTGTTATATAAGAAGGAAAATCACTGAAAGTTTTATACTTAGTCATAGGTCAATTTCCAGTTTTCATTCGACAGTATTACGCTTGAAATGGCATCAGCAGTTTGATTTCTTTACCTAAAAACTTCATTTACATTAAATCTTTTTGAGAAACATCATTGGTTAGGGAGAATCTCACTTGCCCTATTGGGTGAGTTAAATCAAATTTTTGCTTGCCCGGCCTGAACTTTCACTAGCAATTGTGAGCGGGCGAGTGGATTTGTTGAGGCCTGTCATTACTAACAACTGTAAATGTAAACAAATTATATCCAGGCCCTCTTTCAGATAGGGCTTTCTTTCTGGTGTTCACTATCAGTGTTTGTATCAGGGTTCTCACTAGGACTTTAAAACATGGAGTCCATGGACTCCCAAACCTGAAAAAGTTGGAGTCCAAAGGCGCGTCGCAATAAATATTTTCACAGTGCTCAAAATAACATTGCTGATATTTTGAATCTTCAAGAGACTTTCAAAGTTTATAGTTATTCAAAACAAACTCTGGACTACATAGTATAATTATTGTTTTGTTGTTAATATTTTTCATGAAATTATTTCATTATAATGCATCAACACATGGAAATTTTTTTTTTTGTGTTTTTTTCGCACTTTTATACCAAATCAAATTTTATTCTGGTTAAATAAGTCCACTCTAAAGACAAAAAGTTTATATTTGTAAAAAAAAAAAATGTATATAGGCAGCGTTTAGCGGAATGAATAGGAAAATCGTGTACAGCTTCACACAGTGTGTAAGAGATTCATCCGATCGAGAATTATTTTAGCAAATATCTTCAAAATGGGGGCAAATTGAAGATCGATATTTAAATTTAATGCTGATTAAATAATAAAGGAACAATTCATTCACATGTTTGGCTTGGAAACTGAGAATTTTTGCGAAATTTTAGGGTTTCTGAAATTCCGGCGAACGTGAAATCGCCGATGTTCGGGATCAATTTTCGGATAGAATCTTAATATCAAAGAAAAGCGTATGTGTATTTTGGTTAGTTGTCCTGGCATTTCGGCACAATATGTTAAATTATTAATACTCTTATAGAACGTTTTTGCAAGAATGAAACTAAAGCAAAATTTTGCCTAGAAAATGCCGAAAATTTCGACAATAATTCAAAATTACACTCATTTGTAATTTGAGAACTTGCGGCGTAAATAGTCGATATTTTTATCCTTTTGCCGGTAAATTTTGTTAATTTCCAATCAACTGTTGATCAAAGATATTAAATTATCACCTCGTGTTATATCTGGTAATTACATGAACAGCGTGTGTATACATTAGTCTGATCTCTATTGCGTGATAAGGATCGAAAGTGTTATCGCTGATTGGCAAATCGCTTCACGGGTCGATGTGCATAGGACCGCCTTGGCTGTTAAAATCACTGGATTTTTGTGATTTTCACATTGAAATGACAAATATGAACATCATGACTTTGTATGCTTATTGTACCAGTTATATTTGCATTGGAAATGCCAAAGTCAAATGGTTGCTTAATGAACTTCTTACTTCCATTTTGACAATGCAAAATCAAATACCAATGTGTGATGGCATAAACACATAGTCATTACCACACATAGTCATTACCAATACTGGGGCAATAGACAGTTCTTAATTTAAAATAGCATATAAATCAATTATACAAATAAAGCTTTAGTTTAATAGTGTTTTTGAACAAGTTAATGATATTTCATGATTCTAAAGGAATGCCTAGGACTGGTAATTAGTCTTTACATTCAAAATTTGAAATGTATTATGTAGTGAAAATTACTGCAACCGGTAAATTTATTTGAATCAAATTACATGATTATCACAACGAATCATCAGTGTGTTCTTGTTTTTTTTCCAGGCTGGTATTTTAGAAGGGGCCATTGTAATGAGTGTTGTTGGAATAATCAGGTATGCTCCTTTGTTTGTTCTTATTGTTATGTATATACAGGCTTTATTTTAAATGTGTTAAGTATCTGTTTCCAAAATAGCTCAGTAGGTGAAGCGCAAAACTAATAATTTCAAGGTCATGGGTTCAATACCTACTCTTGCTACTACGCATGACCATATTTTTATGCCTATTGTAAAAGAATGTTAGAATTATTTTCAAATAAAAAATTCTTAGAAAGCTTTCTTAAAATGATTACAAATAGTAACAGGTCTACCATGTTAAGCATTTCTTGTCCAAAATCTGTTGCAATTAGAAAAATTGTGTATGTGCCAAGGTATTTATGCATTTGAAATATCATTGGTACCTTCTGTAGTACTCCAGTGTACAGTTGTTTCATGAGTGTTTGTGGAGCAGTCAAAACTGTTGAATCAAGGTATCAGGGATGACATTAAGAACTGTTGCAAGAGGCAAAAGGTAATGATAATGCTTGAAAGTTGCCAGATGAACTTGTAAGTGTGTTGACTGCATAAGTTATAGAAGTGGCTTATTCACTAATAAGACCAGTTCACTATTAAGACCACTTTGAGTCTGTTTGTGGTCTTAATAGAGGGATTTTATGGTAATAATGCTTTAAAGTTGCCAGATGACCTTGTTATAAATTGTTAATGTGTTGATTCCCCCCACCCCCAACCATTCCATACACCTTCCAATTAAATGATAGTTTTAACGTAAATTTTTTATTTTCAGTGTGAAAGCCATGTTACTTCTGATTGACTGCAAGTACAGGATATTAGAGAAATATAAACCACCAATAAAGAAACATGATGGTCATACAACAGAGATATCAGTAGATCAGACTGAGGAGACCGAGGGTCTTATCAACGGTGAAGTTCTCACTGATCCTGACATGGAAATTGAAAAAAATGTACGTATGATCTCATAGTGACTGAAAATGATTACATATTAATTTATATCTTATATCATCAGTGCAACAAAGTTTTTTTTGTATCATTATGATTAACAATAATGTATATGTAATACAGTCTCTTTGTTTGAAGCTTGATTATTTTCTCTCTTTCTGGAGTTTGCATAACAACTATGTAACTTTATACCCCATTATTAACTTGAAAATAAGCTCACTTTTTTCTGAATCATAATTATAGGTCACTGACTGTCCCAAACATTATTTTTATTTGCTATCAGCTATTACTGCATGGTCCATGTTCACTGAGAATCATTGCGCACACTGTCCATCTGACAGCTCTAGTTAAAGTATAGCATAATTTTTGCTATCTGATAAGAAATATTTTCATTTTATATTTACAAACTCACCTTTATACTGATATACTTGATTTTTTTTATCTGAGCTTCAGCTTAAATTAGATCTTATATTTCATATCATTGTGTAAACTCTATTCCTGTAATGTGTTCAGCACCTTAACATTAGTATATTCATGTATCACATTTTACTTGCTCACTACACATTTTTGAATATTTGCTTCTCTGCACATGATAACCTTTATCCTGCTGGAACTGAAAGATAAAAATGTTTTATCCTTGACCACACCAGTAAAGAGCCAGGCAAGCTTGCACATCCATGCAGTCTGACCATCCTCTATTACTGCTGGCAGCTCAATTTTTATATTGAAACCCTTTAGACTTTTAATGGACTGTTCCAAATTGAAAGCAGGGTAAATCTATTAAATTTTAATGGACTGTTCCAAATTGAAAGCAGGGTTAACCTATAAATTTTAATGGACTGTTCCAAATTGAAAGTAGGGTAAATCTATTAAATTTTAATGGACTGTTCCAAATTGAAAGCAGGGTTAACCTATAAATTTTAATGGACTGTTCCAAATTGAAAGCAGTGTAAATCTATTAAATTTTAATGGACTGTTCCAAATTGAAACCAGGGTAAATCTATTAAATTTTAATGGACTGTTCCAAATTGAAACCAGGGTAAATCTATTAAATTTTAATGGACTGTTCCAAATTGAAAGCAGGGTAAATCTATAACGTAAATTTGGCAGGTTAAGGGTTATGTTGCTGTATGAATCTATCAATGGATAGCTTTCAAAATATTTTATTAGGAGAATCACTCATTCCAGGACTTTACACAAGATGGTAGAAATGGCTTTTGTAATTTTGCCAACTTCAAGGTACATGTATTCTGGTGAAAATCATAGACAGACCAGTTTTATGATTTTTTTTTTTACAAAATTCTGTATTTGATTTTGATGTTATTATTATTAAAACAAAATTTTACCATGTTTGCACCCAATTCTGAGGGAAATTTGTTTCATTGTTTTGCCTATTTTGACTCAATGATTCCCAATTATTATTTGCTTTTTACAGAAATTATTTAAATGGTTTACCTGGCCATTAAGGAGAGCCAATTCCGTATGAATTTTTAAAAATTTGGTTTTTTCCTAAAGAAATATGTTTAACAAGTCAGGGGTTATTTTTCTAGTTTTAAAAACAGAGAAGTTTCATTGTATATATCAATTTTAAAAACTATAATACTGCATGTTTGTTCCAGCAATTTTAAATTTTGATGTTTAATTAAGAACATTAAGGTTTTTTCCAGATAATCTGTAAGTACAAACAAACTTTTACTGTTACAGTTTCGAAAATAAGTGCAACATGTTGACTAATCTATTGCGACGGGTAGAGTACCGTGAAGCTATAATGGTAAAAGTTTGTTTGTACCTATGGATTAGCTGGGAAAAACCCCACATTTGCCGAGTGCTGAATAACAAATCTATTAATGCAAATGTAAATTACAGTATTTTTAATTTTGATCAGTGAGAGCAGTTGTGCTGAATTTTACATTTATTTTATTGTAAAAATGTTTTTGTAAGTTATGTGGCTGTCAATATAAACAGTTGTTTGCTTTATAACCCAAGTCACTGTATAAGTTTACAACCATTTATACTCAGCCATAAAACCCATCAGAAATCTTTATAACCAATATATTCTATAATTTCACTCATTTTAACATAGGACTATAATTACTATTTTATATACTGTACATATATGTAGGTACAATTATAATTGTGAAAGACAAATCTCTTTTTTTTGTATGCAGCAACACTATTTAATGTGTGTTTTTGGTGATTTATTTTTAAAATTTATAAATATGTATAGTTACAATGACTAACATCTGTCTTGAAAAGTGGAAGAAAAAACCCTGACCTACTGAATTGTTCTGCAAATTTTATAAACCTTTCTTCAGATGCATATATCAACAACTGTTTTAGTTTATAGGTAGCCGATTAATTTAAACATTAATTATTTAAGACTAATATTGTAGATTTTAAGCTTTTTTTAGTTCATTTGAATCACTCCTTATTCTGATCTCTGGAACTAAGCCAGTCCACTGGTGTCATATGAGGGAGCATGGTTGTTACACCAGCAGGACTTGAACACAATACCTTAGTTGAGAGGCAGATATGTTAAGCACAAGGCTACAGTGACCATAATGAAATAATAGCAGACTGAATCAGTTATTAATTTATCGTTAAATTTTTAGAGTGGAGTTATACTGGTTTGAATTTGGAACAGTCAATAATTAGTCGCAGGGATTTCATTATCAGAATATTACAACCAGACAGTGACCTAAGTAGACTGGTCTAGCTCTAGGCAGGTCATCTATAGGTCTATTATTATTGTTCAATGTTGTCACTGCCATTCAAAGGTTAATTTCAGATCATTAAGGTTCTGAGGCTATAATTTTAATAAGCACATTATTTTTTTATCCCAGTACTAATGAGTAACTTAAGGTGAAAAAATAATTGTTTTTGAAATTTCTTTCATTGACAAAGGAAACATAATGTTTTAATATAATGTTTCAGGTGTTTTTTTTTAAAGAAATGTTATATAAATTTGCAGATCAGTTGAGGGTATTATATAAAAGGCATGCATGTTAAACTGTTATTATCCTGCCAGATTTCCTCTTGTTGGATTCTACAAATGTGATTGTTACTCTCTGATGTATTGTCCTGTTTCTTACAGAAATATAATGATTTTAATAATAGGAAATAATGAATGACAAGAATCAGATGAGATGAAATGTTTTCATGTTGTTTCTTTGATAAAAATGACAGCCTAAACAGAAAATTTGCCAGCTTTCCATTTTAGTTAGGTCTGTGTATCTTGTACAAGAAAGTTCTCTCCAGTGCAATACATGTTATTTTAAATTAAATTAAATTTGAAGTTTTAATTGAATACAAAATAATGTAATGCCATTCATTAACTGTTTCTGTTCCAAATGATTAAAACTTGGCAGTTACTTGCTTAAGAATGTAGATATCTAAATATCCTGCACTCAGCTGTATGACTGAAAATCTATTAAGCAGGTGTTAAGTAAAAAAAAAACCCAAACTTTTGTAAAACAAATTTTGGAATTTTAATTACTTTTTTGATATATTTCCTTACATTTTATGTTACCAAGAGACAGTTATTTTCCAACTTCTATAAGTCATGTTGTTTGTATAAAATGCTATTTGTCATATGTTATTTCTGTGTATATATTCTTCATAATTATGCAACCTAATCTATACTTGTGACCTGGGTATAGTTACACTTACAACTGGCACTGTATATTACCATAATAAACATTTACATGCTTATAATTTTATGGTGGTTCTGACATTTTCCCACCTTATAATGGTTTTTATGCCCATGTTTGATGTTAATAAAGCATAAAATAACTCGTATAACAGTATTTATAAGGGTAAAAGAACAAAGCCTGTACTAATTAACTTCAACTCATTAATGCTATGAAAGAGAAATCTACAACTGTGTTACAATATAAAACCTTCCATAGATTATCATTCCTTCTTGCATACATTTGTAAGTTTGCTATAGGCATTGATTCTCAGGCATAATGGTACAATACATTGTATAAGGAAAACATGTGAAACATATTCTGACATGACATTATATATAATGCTTAAGTCTTTAATAAAATTTCTGTTCTGTATATAAGGAAAGCATTGTTGCATTGTATATAAGGAAAATATGTGACATAAATATAACATATGTGGCTTTAAAATAAGACTCATGTAAATTTGTTTGTATAAACATTATCTATTTTATTCATAACTGCAACCTTAACTTTCTGATTATTTTAATAGCCTTGCCCTGCTTTGAATTTAAATGTATAGCAGCTAGAATTACTCAGTTAGTACTAAGGTCTGGCCAGAACTGCACCAGGCATAGAAAAGGCATTCTTACCTCTTTCTTTCACAGTGACCAAGGATTATATCGGATTTAGAGGGTCTAAACTTGAAGTTTCTCTATGGTTCTGGGAACTGTTCATATAATCAGCATACATAAATGAGCCGCGTCATGACAAAACCAACATAATGCATTTGCGACCAGCATGGATACAGACCAGCCTGCGCATCCGCGCAGTCTGATCAGGATCCATGCTGTTCGCTATCAGTTTCTCTACTTGTTATAGAGTTGGTAAGCGAACAGCATGGATTCTGATCAGACTGCGGGGAGGCGCAGGCTGGTCTGGATCCATGCTGGTCGCAAATGCATTATGTTGGTTTTGTCATGACGCGACTCAAATTATGTTTTAAGTTAAACAATTCTTCTTGTTGCAAATATTCTCTCTTCTTAATGGATATCTTTCTGTTTCTTTTTAACATAAAAAAGTTGTGGTTTGTTTTTGAATGAGATTTAATCAGGAAAATCTAATTACATCTCTGTACTTGTTAAACTTTGAAAAGTTTTTGAAATGAAATTGTTTATAGAAATTTTAGAATGTGTAAACTTTGTAAGCTGGTTGCCAAATTGTATGATGGGGTTTTACAATAAACATTAGTTTAGTTTCAATATACTTGGAAGCATACCATTTCTGTATGTCATATACATATATATCTGTTCATTTCACCAAAAGAACTAACAGCAGTCATTTCACAATATTAACTTTGTCAATTTTCTATTTGATATATTGGTTCCCATGTTTTAACATTTGAGGATATTATATTCTCATCATACAAAATGTTTATGTTACAGAGTAGCCAGGAACCAGCAAATACCGAGATTACATATGGAGATGTGGGTATGTATATGCTGCTTGTTTTATTCATTCAAATGTTACCTCATTGATAATGTGTAATAGAAAAGTCCAATATTGTGTTAATGTTAGATATTTCAAGAAGGAAACATTGACTTTTAGTTTAGACCCCTTGTGGCTGAGGGGTTGCCTCCAAGGGTTAAGGCATCAGAATTACAGCCACCATTTATCCCTGAGTCAGATTATAAGAGGTGACTAAATGGGTTTGAATTGCTAGAGTCTATGCATTTCTTAGCTGCATTAGGTGAGGTGGTTTTGACCCCTGGTGTTATTTTAATTTTATAACACCTAGGTTAGCCAAACTCATCTTCCCTGTTTTGGTGCCATATGACCTGTACCTTGTTGGTGCGCTGTAAAACCAAACAAAATAAACCAACAGTTTAGAGGATATTCAGACATTGCTGTGTGTTAATGGATAACTTGTTTTATTGCCACTTCTAGCATTTCAGATCTCATTTTTTCTTAAAGTATAAAAGTTCTTAGTATTAATTCTAATTAGTAATACAGGCTTATATAATCTTTTTTAATGCTAAGAAAAACATTACATTTTAGAAATTGGATAATATTGTAGTTATAAGCTATATTATACAAAATGAATTTATGCAAATACATGACTGTATAATGTCAATATTGATTTATTCTGACACTTGTCATAACTTTATTATGAAAATAAATCATAAATTAAGTTTGATTTAAGTTAATAATTTATAATACGATTTTTTTTTGTAGTTCAACAATTTGCTTTGGATAATATTTTGTAATTTTGTTTTACTATATGTAACTACCGGTATATATGTTGTTTTTTCCCTAGGTTACCAGGCAATAGGACATGCTGGCAGGATGTTAGTTGACATGGCTATAGTCATATCACAAACAGGTACCAACTGTCTCTCTGATGCCAGTATCTTATCATTTATTAGAAATTAAATTGAAGATGTTCACTATTAGTTATGTGCTGAAGATGATATCTTTCTAAATTTAACAGTATGTTCTTGATGAAAACTAGCTTTGAGTCATTTATCATAAAGAATATAAATTGTTTTGCACCAAACATTCATTTTGAATAAAGATTTTAAACAGAGATAAATATACTTCAGTTGTAAGAAATTTTATTTGATTAGAAATGTAGTAATAAGATCCAAATAAATTTTTTTCAGGATTTTGTTGTGCATACATCATTTTCATCACAGAAAATTTATCAGCCTATTTTCCAAATATGAAAATGTAAGTTTTTATTATGTTATAAATTCCAATGCAGCAAATATGTCATGCCACAGTAAAAAATACAACAATAACAGCTGAGCACTTTTCTAGAAATCTAATTATAATAGAGTTAAGATTAAGTTAAAATATACAGAACTTGATGCTGTATTTATGCCTTACTTGAATTCAAAGATTTTTTAGATATTTTCTTATTGAAAGAATTAAAATCTTATTCTTCTCATCAGACTTGTTTTGTAAAAGTAGCTATAAATAGCTCCGATAATAAAAATGATGACATCAAGATAATATACCAATAAAAAGAAATGTAACTATAAGTTAATTAGCATGAAGAAGTCACAATGGTCACTGTGGTGTAGTGGTAAGCATACTGGACAGGCAATCCAGATACTTGTTGTTTGAGTCCAGGCTTTGGCATGCTGCTTTCTAACTTCTTGTGTGATTTTTCTGTGTATTATTTCCTGCACTTGACTTTTTCCCTTTCATATATATATATATATATTCAAATTTTGATATTTTGTACTTCTGCTTTACTGTATATATATATTTATATAATTGTATAATATAATATTGTAAATTTCAGGCAAGTCTGGTTGCTCATTCTTCTACCTCCGTTATCAATTCTAACATTAGCCAGGCATCTTGGTGGTCTAGCTATTACAAGGTAAATATCTGTTTTAACCCTTACTACACTGAATATCCCTTAATGAACTTGCCTTTTGATATGGACAAAACCATTCATCATTTTTAGGGAAAAATTCAAAATAGATTGACACAGTAGCGAACAGTGCAGACTATGATCAGACACGACATCTACATTGTTCTGTTAATGGGAGAGGTATACCCATCTTGTTTGCAGCGGAAAGATAACTCTTCATTCTGAAAATTCAATGTTCTTTTATTTATTTATATTGAATAGAATTTTATATTTCTTCTAAAAAAATGTTTCATACATATATTTTATCATATATGAATATTATGTATATTCATAACTACAATGTATAATAGTCCATCTTATTATCTCCACTTTTCTAAAGAATAATCTGGAAGTACATGTATTGTCATGATCCTCCTGTCGATGTTGGTTCATTTCAGCTAACCTTTCATGTTAATTTGTCATTTATGGTCATTTAAATTAAGTACTTACAAAACCATTAAATTGAAATATATTACATGTATGTGGATGCACCCTAAGTAGGGTCCACTTTCCACACCTATTTTAAAAGCCAAAGTCACTTGAACCTGTAATAACAAAACATTAAAATGATATTTAAATTGAGAGCGCATTGATTCAGGAACATCAAACATAGTGTGTAGGTCTAATGAGTTCTACCAGCATACTAATTTTTTATCAAAGGTTAAAGGTAAATGTCCCAAAATTAATCAGTGAAAAGCAGCTGAATGACATTACAATTTAAGTGGCACACTCCACTATATTTGGAGGCATGCCAAATGGTGATAATATGACATAATCCTCCTCCCCAAACAACTCCCATTTTCCACCCACCCAAACAAATCAAATTTTCCACCCACCCAAACAACTCTAATTGTTCAGCCACCCAAACAACTCCAGTTTTCCAACCACCAAAACAACTCCCATTTTTAACTCACCCAAACAACTCTTATTTTCCAAATACCCTAACAACTCCCATTTTCACCACCAAAAACAACTCAAATTTTCCACCCACCCAAACAACTCCAATTTTCCACCCACCAAAACAACTTCCATTTTCCAACCACTTTCAAACATCATTTAATGTTACCATATTTAAAACAGGAAACTTGACAGTAAACAATGAAAAGTGGTAAGTACATTGTATGATGGATTCTTTGTTATTTTACCATGTTAACATTAGTAAAATATTCATCAACCATTTTGTTTCAGTTTGCTTGCTCAGTGTTCAAACCTATTTGCATTTGCAGTGGTGTTATGGTTTGATTTTGAACATCTTCATACTATAAAGTAAGTCCTAAAAATAATTCCTGCTTAGTCACTTGTCCCTTACCGCATGTGTTTGAATCCCACCAAGGACTGTAGGGATCTCTGCCATGTCAGAAAGGTAGCCAGCTATATATGATGTAGCTTAAAGAATGGCAGTGGTTCTACTAAGGTATGGATGAGGCACCTGTGACAATTTCATCTACCAGTTAAGCTTGAATGTTGCCATATTGCTTGAGTAAAACATTGAACCCAAATATAGACCATCTACATTTTGTTAAATATGCAAAACCTAAAAGCTTCAATAAATTTTCCCGCATGAAATATAAATTCATTATTGATGACTTTGCATGTTTTTTAAAAAATCATTATTTTACAACTTTAAACTCTTGCTTTATACATTTGACATGCTTACAAATATACTTAAACACAGTAAACAGTGGCTTGTCTATAAGTAGACTTAAGTAGACTTAGAATTTGAAAAAGTAAAGTATGTATAGTTTTTAAATTTTTTATCTCAAAATCTCAACATTTATCAGCCAACAGATTTGCAGGATCACCTGACACTACACTGTTCACATGGATTGGTAGTTAATCACCACTGGTTTTGAAAATGTTACATAAATAAAGTATCTAATTTTTATGCCACCGCAGCATCTGCGATGCGGTGGCATATAGCGATTCACCTGTGTGTGTGTGTGTGTGTGTGTGTGTGTGTGTGTGCGTTTGTTTGTTTGTGTGTGTGTGTGTTATATAGATTATATAGTGAACTTAAAAAATCTTCTTGTGAAAAACCACTAGTCCAATTTCAATCAAACTTGGCAGGATTGAACCTTGGGTGAAGGGCTTCCAAAGTTGTTCAAAGAATTTAATTCCATGCAGAAATCTGGTTGCCATGGCAACCAAAAGGAATTATAAGAATAAATTTAAAAAATCTTCTTGTAAAGACCCAAAAGGCCTAGAGCTTAGATATTTTGCATAAAGCATTGTCTGGTAGACCTCTACCAAGATTGTTCAAATTATAGCCCTGGGGTCAAAATCGGCCAGCCCCGGGGGTCATTGATTTTCACTATATGTACATATAGTAAAAACTTAAAATACCTTTTTGTAAAGACCCATAGGCCTAGAGCTTAGATATTTTGCATAAGGAATTGTCTGGTAGACCTCTACCAATATTGTTCAAATTATAGGCCTGGGGTCAAAATCAGCCCTGCCCCGGGGGTCATGGATTTTCACTATATGTACATATAGTAAAAATTTAAAATACCTTCTTGTAAAGACCCAAAAGGCCTAGAGCTTAGATATTTTGCATAAGGCATTGTCTGATAGACCTCTACCCAGATTGTTTAAATTATAGCCCTGGGGTCAAAATCGGCCCGGCCCCGGGGGTCATTGATTTTCCTCATATTTACATAGTAAAAACTTATAGTAAAAACTTTAAAAAAAATTTCTTCTAGCAATTGACAAATGCTAGAGGTTAGATATTTTGCATGAAACATTGTGAAGTGAACCTCTAGCAAGAATGTTCAAATAATAGCCCTGGGGTCAAAATTGCCCCCGCCCCGGGGTCATTGATTTTCAATATATACATATAGTAAAAAAATAAAAAAATCTTATTGTCTGAAGGTACAAGGCTTAGAGCTTTAATATTTGTTAAATGATATCATCTATAGGTACTCTACCAATTTTGTTCAAATTTTGCCTCTAGTGTCAAAATTAAAAGTGAACTTTGATATCAGCTGACCTAGATTTTGACAAAGTGTATTACATGTTGTCCTTTGATGCAGTCATGAAATTTAGGCTGTGTGAAATATAACCTTCACCACCAAATTCACTAGACTCGAGTGCATTGATATATTCCTACTCTGATCTTTTATTGAGTTAACAATAGATATAACCACTATTCTGATAATAAGAATTAGATATGCATGACAATCTTCAATTGTATAGAAACAAAAAAAATCTGTTCCTACACTACTATTTAGTGTTGTATTAATGCGGTGGCATAGCATTTTTCTCAAATGCAATCTTGTTTTGTTTTACGATTCTTTTCATTCAAGTATAATTTTATGAAAAAGTGAGAAACATTTAAATATCTACATGTATGATTCAAACAATTTCAGTGTTCATCCAAAGAAGATGAAAATCCAAGGACTTCCATTTTTCCTGGCTATATCAATCTACTGTTATGAGGTAGGATTAGACAAAACTATATCATGTATACAGGCAGCTGTCGCTGTGTGAGATTTAACATAGATTACATATGTTATTTGATTCTGTTAATGATTTTGCTTTATTTATGTTCCATTAAGTTTTCTGCAGATGTGGAAGACTATGTGATATCATGATTACCCCTCTATAATGTAGACATGTGTTATTGACAGCTATATAGTAGACAAAATGGGGATGATAAATATTTATTTTTATATATATATAAATAATATGCTTTTATTGAGGCCATTTATAAGGACGACTTTTTATCACCTTTAAGTTGTATGCTATTCTGTCTATCCATCTATTTGAATTGTTAGTTTGTAATGAAACTGCCTGACTGTATATATGTACAAATGTATAAGGAAATGAAATTTAGTTAAAGGCCTTTGTTAGTTGCATCAATTCTATAAAATCAGAAATTCATTAAAATGTTGAAGATCAATAGCTTATTTGAAAGGTAAAAAATGAAATATTCGTATCAGAATTTTCCACCAATCTTTATTTCACAAAGAGAGAATACTACATGTACCTTTTGCTAGGCTATGAACATTTTTGTGGAGAACACCTTTTCCATACCTGTTCTCTGTGGCAAACACCTCTTCCATACCTGATTAAGTACAGGTACACCATTGGTAGAAATTCAAGTGTCATGGTTAAACTATTGGTGTGTTTCACATAACTAAAATGTATTTTATTATCAAGCACTCTTTATATACATTATCATTTATGTTATATCAGAATTCATTGTTTCTATATATAGGGAGCTGGTATGATCCTTCATTTAGAATCATCAGTAGCAGAACCAGTTAGATACAAGTTTAAAAGGTAAACTTTATACTTATATAGTGTGGTAAATTAATAAATGTTGTCAACTTGAGTTTTTTACCATTCAATCTTTTTGAATGTTTCTTTCTCAATTTGTAATTATGGCCTTGAAGCTGCAGGTTTTCAGAAGTTTTAAGAAATAGGTTTGGAAATATAAAAACTTGAAAAATGGTGTTTCAATGTTATAAAAACTCACAATCCATGTGACACTGAGACTGTTTTATTCAAATTTTGACAAAATTTATAATTAAATCAATGTATTTTGCCTTGTTTCTAATAGAGTATTGGCTATTTGGGAATATTTTGACATATTATAAGTTATTCCTGTTGGGCAGTAATTGCCCCAGGAGAGCTGATATCGTTTTATTTGTACACTTGACAACTTCACTGCTAAGAAGACCTTCTCATATTCGATAACAATATATCAATCTGTGCACCTTGAACACATTTTTAGTTATGAATACTATAAATGTGATGTAATAATCTGGTGTTGAATCATTACTAGGGAAAGACCTCAGGTGCTCGGTGTTTAACATATTTGAATACCAATTAAGATTTAAAGTAGATTGGTTTACAATGGGAACATTTCCACGAGTGTTTCAGATATTGATATTAAAAAAAAAAATAGAAATCTGTCACTTGAATATTTCTGTGAAATATTTCTTGAGAAAAAATGTTGATTAAGTTTTAAGTGATTAAACATGAACATTAATTTTATATGATGAAAAATAATATTTTGTTCTAGAACAATTTTTTATCTGCTATAAATACATATTTATTATCAGACCATGTATCCAGCACTTAACCAACAACAAACATAAATACATTTAATTCTTTTGTGGTTTATTGTCGTAATTATACTTAGTACTTTTAACATAATTATTTATGGTATAACAGACCTTTCTTTATTGACCTATTCACTTTAATCCACATTTATAAACTGTAATGAGACTAAAAATCATGAGAAAGTATAGAAGTTGCTTGATTTAATATTTCTATTACATAAATAGCAATTTAATATGTTTAAGATAAAATATTAGCTAGGGGACATTAGAAGTTTGCGTGTGAGGAAGCTGATCAGTTACCGTTCAGAAAGTGTTATACACAGATGCACTGCTTAACTTCAATTTTGCATCACGAAGATCAATGTGTCTTCCACCACAAGTAAACCTGGGAAATTGTTATATTGACATTAACAATACAGATCTAATGAAAAATTGTTATACTGACATTAGCAATACAGATCTAATGAAAAATTGTTATATTGACATTAGCAATACAGATCTAATTAAAAATTGTTATATTGACATTAGCAATTCAGATCTAATGAAAAATTGTTATATTGACATTAGCAATACAGATCTAATGAAAAATTGTTATATTGACATTAGCAATACAGATCTAATGAAAAATTGTTATATTGACATTAGCAATACAGATCTAATGAAAAATTGTTATATTGACATTAGCAATACAGATCTAATGAAAAATTGTTATATTGACATTAGCAATACAGATCTAATGAAAAATTGTTATATTGACATCAACAATACAGATCTAATGAAAAATTGTTATATTGACATTAGCAATACAGATCTAATGAAAAATTGTTATATTGACATTAACAATACAGATCTAATGAAAAATTGTTATATTGACATTAGCAATACAGATCTAATGAAAAATTGTTATATTGACATTAGCAATACAGATCTAATGAAAAATTGTTATATTGACATTAGCAATACAGATCTAATGAAAAATTGTTATATTGACATCAACAATACAGATATAATGAAAAATGATGTAACTGCATGATATAAGCCTACATTGTGTTCTGTTATATTTACAGGTATTTTATAACCACCATGTTTATAGTAACAACGATGTATGTGTCATTTGGAAGCTGTGGATATGCTGTAAGTCTTCATTTTCTTACAACAATAATCTGTTGTATAATGTATAAATGATAGAACGATTAGTAACACATGTTAGTTTGAGGTAATACTAGAGGTCTGACATGGAGCTTGTCTAGATATGTCACAGATTTTACTTACGATACTTGACACTAGAAATGTTGACTGTATGCAAATATTATTGTCATATATAATCAGATATATTTGGTAAGCACGTATAATCTAATTGATTTCTTTGTGACAGCTTGTTCTATATGGACATGACGTGATAAATGTTTTTGTAACATTAATTGATATGATATATTTGGTGTAATTTATTCAATATATAACAATGTTAATAACTTAATATCATTTATATAAGTCTGTTTACACATATCACATTTCACATACTTTGAATCTAAAAGCAAACTGACTATACTGGTAACCTATAACTTGCTGAATTTGTGTAATGGACCTGCCTATATTGAATTTGGAACAGTCCATTGAAATATCAAAATGCAAATTTTGAGCTATCATCAGTATAAAGCCTGGTCAGACTGCATGTAAGTTCAGACTGGCCTAGCCCAATACGCATGGCTAATGCTAATAACTTATGGTTTATGCAGGCTAAGGGTCAATTGATTTCTTGTTACATACATGGTCATTAAATAAAATACTGACAAATTTGCCAAGTTTCTCTCTTGTTTTTGAGAAAAGGCAAAAAAATTGACTTTCAACCTTGTACATGTATTCTATATCCATGCTCTCTCTTTTCAGTCTTTTGGAAAAGAAACCAACCAAATTATTACTTTGAATTTACCTCAAGGTAGGAATTTGAAATTTTCATGGAATTTAGAACAAAATTACTGTAGCCACTTCCATTCTTAAATGTAAATAAAAAAGAGAATTGAAAAAAAATATATTGAACTATATTGTGCGGAGAATTAATTTTCCTGGCATCATTTGGTTTATTGATGTCACATCTGACGTCATATGATATGTATGTATTGATAGGAACATATTCTTTTTTATGACATGCATATATTGTGTAAAAAATGCACTTGACTGCCTTGCCATTTTAATAAAGGGAGTATTGTGAAACATGTTCGAATGAAAATTTAAGAAATAACATCGGCCTGAGAGGTCTATATCGGCTATTTAACACCGGTTTGGAGTTTTGATGCGTAGGAATTGACCACGAAGGCCGTAGGCCTTAGTGGTTAATTTTGTCTCATCAAAACGACAAAACCAGTGTAAAATAGCCAATATACACCTCTCCGGCCGATGTTATTTCGATTCTAACACAATAAAATAAGGAAATCACTAATGTTATTTTTTTCAAGCGGAAATAACTTCCGGTGCCGATTTTCGTATAACGCTGTTCGATTTTTGCACCCTACTGTTGCAAAGATATAGAAATTATTAAACAAAAGAAATACTTAGAAAAAAACGTTATTTTATCAAGTTTTCAAAAATAAAAACTTACGTCGTATTGTGTTAACGTCAGTGCCCCATTTATCATTCTTGTATGTATGAAATAACGTTGGCTTGTTTATGAATGAGTTGTTTACTTAGGATGACGTCATTACGCTGCTTACGGATTGGCGCCGTTTTGTCATAATATTTATTAACTGATATGGATCTAATATGTGGCATGAGAGAATGTGAGAAATTATTTTGGTATTGTATGAAAAGAAAACATTATACGCACTGAAAATATAAATAAAAATGCTTTTTATTGTTGCTTTAAAATGCTTTGTAAACTATACTATAGAGGGTGAAAACATAACAGGGCATATACAAGTAGTCCCTTATCCGTGTTTATTGGCAGTTTAACACCAGTTTTTTTCCTTCTTTGTCTATAGTGACAAAATCACGTGAGTGTTAGAATATTAAATAGATAATAATATTTTTGAAGTAGCCAAGTGTTAATCCTGCTTCTGTCCAGTCAATATTTTTATGCTACATGTGTAAATGTGTAACTTATATTGTGTGCTACACAAAAATATAACTTATATATTATATTTTTATTGTTAAAATTTATATGTTTATTGATATGTTTTCAGGAGAGTCTCTAGATTTTTCAATGATAGTCAAATCATGTTTGTGTCTTGCCTTATTTTTTACGTATCCAGGTAATTATATCCTTCAGATTACATTTTGACTTTGTTTATATATCATTAACATATTACTATAAATTTTTACTTTTTTGCCTCATTTTTTTGTTGCTGAAAGAATGATCAATGTCAATATTATTTCAAAACTACTTAGGTTTCAGCATAAAATGCCTTTAAAATCATGCCTTATAAACTGTCAATCACTGTTATTAAACAGATTTTTAAATAATTTATAGTTGCTGAACCTTTAGGATAACGTTATTTAACAGCCTTGAAAAATTGGTTGTACTGAAATAGTAATTATTATGGAAAATATTCATAGGTTTAAATAAGGAGTGTAAAATGTTGGAAAACCTTTACTATGAACACTTTGGTGAAACCAGCTAAAATGGCTTGTCTGTTGCACAAACATGACTAAGCAAATCCGTTAAACATATCTAATTAATATTAGAATAAATGTTTATCATATATTATATATATATATAGTGTGTGTGTTTATTTTTAGTAATGATGTTTCCTGTCATGCAGATTTTAGATGGTTATCTTATATGGGAACCAGATAACAATAAAGGAAAAGGGGTAAGGAAGCTTAAGGGTTTTATTATCTGAAACCATGAGTGATCTTATTTTTATTGTCTTTCACTATTGTATTTAGGATTTCATTGTAATTGAAAAGATAGTCTTTAAAATTGATGTTTTAGATTTAGGTGACACTCTGTTAATATTTTACTGTAAAAAAGAAAACCTTTAGAAATTAATTAAAACCATATTTTTTTTCATAATAAAAATTGAATTTCTATTTATATGTTTTTCTGTTTACTATACATTTTGTATTCATTTATCCATCTTTAATAAATTTCTCTATGGTTTCTGTAAATCTCATTTCTTGTAGTAAAATTGACCATTCTTCTTGGACATGGAGACTAACGGTCATTTGTGTATTATCTCTGTTTTTGAAAACATTTTAGATAAGAAGTCAGTCACTTGTGGAGACATTGATAATTCTTGGGCAAGTTATCCAGGAAAGGTGATTTAATCACTGAGTTAAGCCAAATAATGCGTTAAAATCAGCATGAATAACAAATAACTAAATTTTAGGATGTATTTTTAGCTCGACTTTTCTATGAAAAGGGGAGCTATCCTACTCGCCCCGGCGTCGGCGTCGGCGTTAGCGTTGGCGTCACACCTTGGTTAAGTTTTTCGTACCACCCCACTTTATTTCAGAAGTATTACAAGTATGGCTTTGAAACTTACCATACTTGTTCACCATCATAACCTCCATCTACAGACAAGAGTACATAACTCTGTCAAGGTTTTTGACAGAATTATGGCCCTTTTTTGACTTAGAAAGTGTATTGAGCTTGGTTAAGTTTTTTGTACCACCTCACTTTATTTCAAAACCATTGGAGGTATTGCTTTGAAACTGACCATACTTGTTTACCATCACGACCTTCATCAACAGACAAGAGGACATAACTCTGTCAAGGTTTTTGACAGAATTATGCCCCTTTTTGACTTAGAAAATACATTGAATATGGGTAAAATCCACTTATTGCCTTAACCCTTTGAGATATTGCTTTGAAACTTTTAATGCTATTTCACATCATTACCCCCATCTGTACGCAAGAGAAGGTAACTCTGTCAAGGATTTGTTTTAAAAATTAAGGCCTTTTATCGACTTAGAATCTTGGTTAAGTTTTTAGTACCAGTCCACTTTTTGACTGAACTGTTTGAGATATTAATTTGAAAGTTGGAATACTTGTTTACAATCATGATTCCCAAACATGTCCAGGAGAAGGTAATTCTGTCAAAGATTTTATTTGAATTATGGCCCTTAACTGTCAATGTTTTGTATTATAGGCAAGCACTAAAAAACTTAAAAAATCTAAAAAAATTCATTCCTATCCACTTGTTCACTTTACCATAAATTATGTCATATAAACATTGCTGTAATATTCAAGGGTATCAAACAACTAGTTCACTTTAAAAATACAGAGATTCTTGTATTGCCTTTTACTGCAAAAACTTTTTTTATTGGCAAGTCGAGCGCGCCTGTCTTACGGACAGCTCTTGTTAGCTCACCTGTCACAAAGTGACAGGGTGAGCTTTTGTGATCGCTTTTCCGTCGGCGCGTCGTCGTCCGTCGTCGTCCGTAAACTTTTACTTTAAATGACATCTCCTCATAAACCACATAAGGCCAATTTCATCCAAACTTCACAGGAATGTCCTTTGGTGGTCACCTTTTAAAAATTGTTCAAAGAATTTAATTCCATGCAGAACTCTGGTTGCCATGGCAACCGAAAGAAAAAACTTTAAATATCTTCTTTTAAAAAAGCATAAGAGCTAGAGCTTAGATATTTGGCATGAAACATCTTCTAGTGAGTGTCTACCAAGTTTGTTCAAATAAAAGCCCTGGGGTCAAAATTGGCCCCGCCCCGGGGGGTCATTGATTTTCCCTATATGCATATAGTAAAAACTTAAAAAATCTTCTTTTAAAGAACTCAAAGAGCTATGGCTAAAATATTGAGCATCAAACATGTTCTAATAGGTGTCTACCAAGTTTGTTCAAAGAAAAGCCCTGGGGTCAAAATTGACCCCGCCCCAGGGGGTCATTGATTTTCCCTATATGCATATAGTAAAAACTTAAAAAATCTTCTTTTAAAGAACCAAAAGAGTTAGAGCTAAGATATTTAGCATGAAACATGTTCTAATAAGTGTCTACCAAGTTTGTTCAAATAAAAGCCCTGGGGTCAAAATTGATTTTCCCTATATATGCATATAGTAAAAACTTAAAAAATCTTCTTTTAAAGAACTCAAAGAGCTATGGTTAAGATATTTAGCATCAAACATGTTTCTAATAGGTGTCTACCAAGTTTGTTTCAAATAAAAGCCCTGGGGTCAAAATTGGCCCCGCCCCGGGGTCATTTGATTTTCCTTATATGTGTATAGCAAAAACTTAAAAAATCTTTTTTGAAAAAACCCAAATAGCTAGAGTTAAGATATTAAGCATGAAACATCTTTTAGTGAGTGTCTACAAAGTTTGTTCAAATAAAAACCCCTTGGGTCAAAATTGGCCCCCCCCGGGGGGTCATTGATTTTCCTTATATGTGTATAGCAAAAACTTAAAATCTTCTTTGAAAAAACCCAAATAGCTAGAGTTTAGATATTAAGCATGAAACATATTCTATTAAGTGTCTACAAAGTTTGTTCAAATAAAACCCTGGGGTCATAACTGGCCCGCCCCAGGGGTGTCATTGTTTTTAACTATATGTGTAATAGTAAAAACTTAATAAAAATCTTCTTTTAAATAGCCCAATGAGCTTAGAGCTTAGATGTTTAGCATGAAACATCTTCTTATGGGTGTCTACCAAGTTTGTGCAAATAAAAGCCCTTGGTTAAATTGGATCTGCAACGTTTTGGGGGGTTGGGGGGGGGGCCTATAATACATGTGAGCGACCTCAGGGCCATCATGGCCCTCTTGTTTTATTGCAGTCAAGTTTATCTGAAAATTGTACCTTTCAGGTTTTCAGATCAGTTGTAATAGTATATATTTAAACACAATATTTCAGAATGTGTTGAGAATATCTATGGTATTACTGACAGGGTTAATTGTGTTGATGATACCTAGTTTCACTAATATCATGGCTCTAGTTGGTGCTACATGCTGTACATTGCTAGCATTTACATTACCTGGTCTCTTCCATATGACCATCTTTAAAGGGTAAGTCAAGATTTTACAACAGCATTAGTAATCGTTACTGCCAACACCTAAGACTGTACCCAAAGAGTATTTTATTTTAATGTTTGAAAATCATCAGTTATAAAAACTGCCAAGATTTTCCCATAGTAATAAATGGTTGCAATATACATGTATTAGTGACAGAATGTCATTCAAACTGTGATGACTTTCTTAAGGGAAATTTTATTTTATTTTGTTTTACAAGGAATAGTTTGTATGACACTATTCTAGCATGAGTGGTTTACAATACATGCTATGATCCATTGTCCAAATGTTAAAATTTTATATGGTTAGCAATTGATACAGCAACATATGTGGGTATATTTGCTTTCAAGACATTTTTGTAGTTTTCATATATTTCATATAGACATATAGGCAAATTAAAACTGTTATCATATTCTAACAAGATGGCAAGTTTAAAGAAATTCTATTCACAGTTTTAATTCTGCCTATACATTATATGTTTATATGAAAACTACCGAAGAAAAAATTCCTTTTAGGATGAACTTTTTGCACTTAAATAAGTTTTCCATATGACTTTATTTATATATTTACAGGGAAAAATAATATTTATACTACAGTGGATATTCCACATGACAATATTAATTAGCTGGCATAAACAGCTTATTTTCTGTCCTGTTATGTACATTTAGTTTTTAAAATGGGGATATTTAGCTTTTAGATATTTATTTTGACACTTTCTTTAAATTGATTTCATTTACAGGCAAAAAAATGCTTTGAAAATGATACCTAGAATTAATAATTTTCATCATCTGAAATTTTGAACAGTTTTAAATAGATTCATCACATTTATATGATTGTTTAATTACAGGTCACTTTCAAAGTTACAAGTATCATTTGATTGGTTTCTGGTAATTCTTGGTGTTATTGGGTAAGAGGTTTTCTTAATGAATTTACAGATTTTGTAATGTATTATCCTAGATATTACTGTCTGGGGCTACTAGATAAAAATGCTGACAGAAAGGATAGAATGTGGTCTGAGAGTCATCTTAAAAAGCACAAATCAAAGAGATTTAAGGTGATGTTTGGTAGAATGAATATGTCTTATGTCTTTGATGTTTAATGTGTTGGTGATATTATAACAATCAGGTTAATACTTGTACAGAAACAAGCATAAAACTAGCTACCAATATAATATATGACTGCAGAAATGTTAAAATATTTGCTTACTCCAGCATATAGATAGTCCTGAGACTTAACTCTTGTTAGACCACCATCCCATCAAATAGAAGGGGTTATTCTGGAATGACTGCGGTGTGTTGGTCAGATGATCGATCAGTCAGTAGTTCTGTCCATCTTCATCATGTTTCCTCTTATTTATGTGAAGCATTTACATTTTATGATTATGATACTATGGTTTTGTCAATATGTAAAATATTGTGTAATATTTTAAATTGATATAACCTATTTTGTGTATTTACAATTTGTTTCTGCTTTCTTCTTTTCTAGAGCAATCATTGGAACATTAGACACTTTAAACAGACTTGCAAAGACAGCAGAAGTGCAAGTTCCGCGTGATATCTTAGCCAACCATACAGCAGTAGCAGCTACTGGAGAAAGCTGATGATCTAAATATAGAAATAGCTAAAAATAGAAATATAGCAATTCTGTGATCTTGTAACTCATAAACATACATGTATATATTTCTTAGCTCTGGTTACAAAGTGGGCCAACAATTTTGTCACCTGTATAAATAAGATGGGTAATGTGGATCAATTTATACTTTCATATAGAGAAAAATCAACATTAAAAATGTTGACCATTATGTGCATTTCGAATCAATGTCATGACCTTAAACTAAGTATTTATTATCAAACTGAATCTATACATATTAATCACCTCGACATAGAATAATTCAATCAGTTTGTATGCCGGTACAGTGAACCTGCTTTAACAAGTTAGATACATCTACTGTTCTACTTGTACCAATGGCTTCATACCACATTATATTATTAATATTATACTTATTGCTGATACATAGACAATGATTCTGGTCCCTGTTAGATTGTATGTCATTTACCTTCGACTCTAAGATCAGAGTGAATCTTGATATAAAGCAGTTTGGTTCTTTTTCACTGCCATTTGATTTGTTGAACTTTGTAACAAAGATTAATGCATATCGTTCAGTAGATGTGTCATTGTTTCAATGTTTACAGTATTTCTGTGTGTAGAGAGTGATGGTTAGGCAATGCTAGGATTTTCTTGTACAGAAAATATCATAGTTTGTTACTGTTGTAAATATGCATGTATACAGATCATGGTGGTAATTAAGACACATTAGTATTAGTATTTATGTGTTTATGTATGTACTGGAAATTCATAAATGTGTCACAAGATATAAAAAAGGATGAAAAACAAAAATTTAAAATGGTATGTCGTTTCATGAATGTTTTATGTGTTGGAAATATAGAATAAGTTGTTTATTGAAGTGTGATATTACTTGGTTCATGCTCAGGTGTCCAGAATTATAAATACGAAGGTAATATTCCTCTGTTATTAAGTACAAATCAGCTAAATTATCTAAATGATAAACAGTGCAATATAAGATGATAATTCAAGAAATATAAACAGCTATATCCATTCTTATATGCTAAAAAATAGACATTGGACAATTAAAAATACATTCATGTGAGAAGTAATTTATCTGACAGTATCTATTTTGGTAGATGTCATATCTGATGCCAATCAGTCTGTAAATGGTCCCACTTTAATTTCGTGCATGTAGAGCTTAATCATTGTATTATAAGGAAATTATGGAAACTATGTTAGAATAACATTGTTTTATCCAGTCAAGAGTCTATGTTTTATAAGGAAATTATGAGAACTGTTCTTGAGTTACACATTTAATTATTCAGTTAAGAGTTTAATCTGTGTTATAAGGAAATTATAGGGACTGTGTTAAAATTACTCATTGTTTTATCCAGTCTAGAGTTTATTATGTACAAGGAAATTGTGGGAATATGTTCAAGTTCGAAGTAAAACATTGCTATATTCAGTCACTACAGGTGCTTATAAATATGTATCTTAGAAAACCAAAAATGTTTTCAACTAAGCTAGTTCTATTTTTACAGTATTATATAATTATAATGTATCGTGTAAATATGTCATACAATCATAGCTTTATGTTGTTTTAATATTATCTAAGTTGACTTATTCTACGAATTAGAATTTCTGGGAAATCTTCTTTGTTTGATGTCAAACAATCATTTTTGTGTTGTTTATATACTATCTTGCTTTACTTATTTTATGAATTAGAATTTTCTGGGAAAGCTTCTTTGTTTGATGTTAAAGCTTTAAAGAGAAGGCTGTAGAAGAGCTTTAATGTTTAGATAGGTTTATTTTATTTAAATTCTCGGTAACTAAATTAAAAGTTACCATTTATTGTTTCAATGAGTGAAATATTCATTGAACGTGTTGTAAAATGTATTTATTATCTTGTCATTTACTTATCAACTCATTATAAACATATTGTGCTCCTGGTGAGCTCTTCAAAATCATTTCGATTTTTGAATTTTCTCTGCATTTTTGTATACATTCTTGTGTTAACATAGACCAAAGAAAAATATCTTTACCAATTTTCTTTTCTATACTTGACTGCTTGCAGCCAGGGATGATTTTCTTTTTTATTTTATTTTCTTTTGAGTAATTATCATCAGGGATTTTGATAATGGTTTGGTTTGGTATTGGGGGGAGAGATATTTTGAAAAAATTGAATGACTTCTGACAAAAGAAAAGTAATAACATGTAGCAGGGATCAGTAAAGTTATATTTGTACATATAGTTATTGGCTCTATGATAAGGTTAAGTCTCATTATATACAGATAGGCTCTGGTTGATAACCTAAGTAGGGCGAACATAAGACTGCTGGACATCTAGTTTGCAAGTTCAAACCCTGAATAGGGCACATCTTTTAATACAAGAAATTATATTATATACAATTCATCATTATTTTTTATACAATGTTTAACATATCTTCAGTAATAAACATGCATATCTTTAATATTTTGAAAGTAATTGATAGAAAATTTTATAAAGGAATCAAAGATAAATTGAGCTGTATGAAATAAAGCTGTAATATTAAATATGGTTTGAGTAATGGGTTATCTTTAGGGAGGGGGATACAATGTCATCTTGCAACCATTAATAGCATTGTTTCCTTTTGTAAACAGTTACATTTCACCAGGATATACCTGTCTTTACCAGTTGCCAGTACAGGATTTTATATTTTTATTACTTTAGTTATTTGCAAGTTACAATCAAGGTGGTATCATTTTTTATTTTACATATCCATTTGTATTTCAAGTATTTTTTCCCATTGCCGGAGCTTACTTTCAAATTATTTTTTTAATTTTCAAAATTATAATTATACAGATGAGTAACATATCATTTTGTGTATGTTACTTTTTGAACCACCACCAACTTGAGATATCATCACCAGAATCATTTCAGGTTTTATTTATTATCATAGATGTATAATACCTTATAAAAGTTTATGAATCCTTCTATTGTTTTATTTATTGTGACAAGATTCCAAATGCCATAGTTATATTCACATGATTATTAAAACAAATTTTTGGGTGGGTCAGTCATTCACTTTTCTTACCATCTGACTGAGAATAATATTGTAAATTTTGCGTAACTGAGGATGACCAATCCTTGCCAAATTTTTAGAGAAGATAACGCACTTTGGCACTTAATCATTAATTTACACATCATCACCTTAGTGCAGTAGCTGGTTAACTCCTTATATGATTTTATAGGAGTTAACCAGTTACTGCACTAAGGTGATGATGTATTCAATTTTTGTTGAGATGAAGAGCTAGTATTGAAATAATTAGATTGGAACGGAGTACATTGAGGATATTGAATGAGAGTAAATTTAATGCTAAATCTATAGGACAAGTTGAATACAATTATATTATCAAAGCCTCTTATGAGTATATTATTGTTTTATTCAACTAGTTTAATAAATTTAGTATTGAATCTACACGTATACAATATTCAATTTATCACATATCTTAAATAAAAATGGATAACAGTTAAAGTCATTTTTCATTGACACGCCTATAGTGTTTCACCAAAATTAGCGTGTTTTAATGCTATGTTTGTATATAACGCAAATGATGTCACATCAAAGTGTTATTACACTGGTGTAATATCGTTTTTATTAAATATGATTTTTGCCCTGTAGATTATGTGATAAATGCTTTTCTAATAGTCTGATACAGATGTGACAGTCTGTAACTTAAAATAATTTTCAATAAAGATCAACATTCTCATTAATGCATTTTGATAGAGTTTTACCCCTTTTGGCTATTTTTTACAATCATTTCTTAAAGTGTTTAAAGCTATAAATCTGATACCAGTAGTTATTTAAATAATTTTTGAATTTTAAAAAAAACAAAAACTTTGAAACAACATGTATGAAAAAATTTATGTTCCTTTTTCTGTTCCAGAGCAAATGGTACATGCAGAAAATCATTGCTTAACAGTTAAAATCCTTCCTACTTAAAATAGCAGTATAATATTTTAAATAATGTTCCCGAACATTTAATTCTGTTTACGTATTATTATCATGTGTGTTAAATATCAGAGGCATTCTAGATAACAATTTCTTCCTAAAATCCACCATTAAGTTATGTATATAACGTAATTTTCCTGTTCATAAATTTTGTGAAAAATATTTCATTAGATATAGATTTATACCCTTTCATATTATACTTGATATCTTAAAAACATGTACCTATATTCTCAAAAAGGTTGGTTAGGATTGTCAACATGTTCAATGAACATATGTTTTGTTGTTTTTTGTTTTTTTTCTTCATGGATTTAAGATTAGTAAAGTATTGTAGACTATAAATTGGTTATATATGCAATATAATTTTGGTATACCTCAGAGTTTATTTAAAGTGATGTGTTCATTTTAAAGACTTATCAAACATATCTTACATTAAGTGACATTATGCTTATATTATCATTGTCAAGTTGAACTGAATTAACAATATATTTCAAATGATTTGCTGTTATAATGGTGAGTGGCCAACAGTTGATATTGCAAAATATTTAGGATAAAATATGAATATGCCTGAAATATAAATTTCAAATTCTGATTGGTATTTACAAAAAATTCTTTTTTGTCATGTGAGTTATTTATTGTTCATGGGAGGTCAATTCTAAAATTGAAAGGAATTATGGCATAATGTAAACTTATTTTGACTTTCACCTGTTCACATACTATATACCCCCGGGCATAATGTCACTATAACTGCTTGATATTTTGGATAGATTTTTGTCATGATACATTGATGGTCTTCATTGGAAAATTAATTTTATTTTGTGATTTTATCTTGTTTTCATAATCAATTGTTTTCTTCATTTGTCACATCCTATGATTCATAGATATAAACATTTGATTACATCATCCAAATTGACAGATGTCAAGATTATTAAATTCAATAAAAGGTAGTGAATATTATGTGAGTTCATTAAGATAAAGATTAAATAAATAAACAATGTTATTGATTTACAAAGTGTGATATGAATAAGTTATCAGTTGTGATACATTTTGGTATTACTTTTAATAAACACAGTTTAGCCTACATGTATTATATCTCAAAGAAAAGTTTGTTCAAAGATGGCTTTTTTGTAAAATCAGACACCTTTAAAAAAGCTCACAGTATTTTATGGAATATGCTTTTATTGTCACTAATTTTGCTAGGATGATTATATATTTATAGATTATGAAGACGAATATTCATATTTTGGTGCAAATTTATTTTAAATAAAGGAAGAGCTATAACTTTTTCAAGCTAATGATATAACCGGAATGTTAAATGTTTGATTCTTTCTCCCTGTAAAGAAAATCTGTTTGATAAATTGACCCTTTTAATTTCTCTCTTAGTGTATTTGGTAACTTTTTTCTAGCAATGGTTGGAATATCTCAATGAATATGGCCAGTTCTTCATGCAATAATTAAACTTTATTTTGTACTTATTGGTTGTCTATTGATATCTCTTCAAATTATGTATATGATATTTTGGGTTTTGATTAATATGATTAATTATGTATAAAAACCTGGGTTTAAAACTAGTCATTTAAATTGTTACTTTTAATTTTTCCTTTAAAATAGATTTAGGGAGTGATTTTTAGATTTGATGTCCTAGATTAAATCTGGGTAGTTTAACTAAAATTATGGAATTTGATTAAATTAGACAGTATTCTTACTTACTTCATTGTAGTTTTATATTCATGTCAGACAGACTATAGCCTGTAGTGTCACCGTTTGTAGTCTTAAACTCAAATCTGAGTATAAATCAAGGAAATGTTATTTTTACATACCAGGAACAGGTTAACCTGGTATAAAAAGGTATTTTAGTTGTCCCTGATCATTAAAAGGAACTTAATATAGGTGCTTGACCTAATATTAAACTTATATTTCTTAATGGATATAACTGATTTTGACTTACTTGAAGCATTTTTTTTACTTGACCCGTATGATATTTATAAAATAAATTTTAGAAAGAAAACACTTGTCCATACAGGACAACTTGGGCAATACTGACAATTGATTTTGCCACCTCTGTGAGTTATTTGAGAAATGAAACTAATAATTAAATATTATATTTATCTGGGGCATTCTGTATTCATTTTCAAAATTGTTTTCTCATGATGAAAATTAGACTTTAACCATTTTTTCATGGCAGTCACTAAATACTGGCTGCAATAAGAGCTTCGGCTTTTTTATTTTCAATGGTATATTTTCATTTATACTTAAATTGATCTTTTTGAAATGTTGTTGATTTTTTGTTGCTATCTAGAGAAAGATAGAAAATCATACATTAAATGATGTGCTTTGTATAAAATTATATTTTTGTAAAGAAGTGTTACTGTATTTTGATATATATTATTTTATGATGTTATTTATTGTTGTCTACATTACTGTGATAACAACATTAGAAATGGTATATTGTAAATAAATGGGATAATAGGAGTATAGAAAATAAATGTAAAGGTAAGCATAGAAAGTCTTTGTTTTCTTTATTACTTTATTACTGATTGACATAGAAAATAGTCATTAACATTATTATTGCTGCGCTTAGAGTCACAGGCGGTCGGCACATTTGTCTTGCCAGTAATGGTCAAGTCATTGTAAAATAATCTCTTGATCATCAAATGCAAAATTACTATCCAACACCAGTTATTTATAATATGGTATATATATTATATATAGTAAACCGGTGCTGGATAGGAATTTTGTTTTTTTGATTATCAAGGGGAGATTATTTGTGATAATTTGACCATTATTGGCAAGACAATTATGCCGAACGCCTGTGCATAGAATATTCGGGTTAAAAGATTGATGAACCCCCTTTACACTTTTAATTTGCAGATATGGACTAAAATTATTTCATTGCACCTGAAACTGACTATCATTGTTTAAAATCTAAATTTAGTAGACAACAGTACAGAGTTTAGTCAAGCTGAACATGCCTCTATATGGATGATTGATAATATTCAGAGAAAAGACCCTTATATCCTTGGATCATACTTTACAATCATATTGACCTACAACTAATGGTGGTGGTGGTAGTTTACCCTATGGATCACGACAGGGAGCCACTTTGAATTTTAAAAAAAAATTCTCATGATTAAGGTTTTGGCCAACATATCCCTGGATTGTTGCCTTGGATCAGCAGAAGAATCTTAAATTTATTGAACTTGATGCACCCATATTACCTTTAAATTACTTGTTGTTTTTTTTAAGCTTAAATAATCTTTTCAATTTTCAATTGTTCTCTTGTCTATCACAATAAAATAATTTGTCTCGGACTGTAAAAGAAGCTTTGTAGGTCACTGGTCCACCTGAATATTTGGCCATTAGTTGACAATCTTTTTAGAAGTATGAATAGGCCGCTCAATTTTCATAAGATTGTCAAAAGAATTTTACAATATAACAATCATTCCTGAAATACAGTCAAACCTAATGGTAATGACCATCTATGAATGTGAAGAATAAATCATTTATCTATATATTAGTCCTACAATTGTTGGACTATCTATATATATCAGTGTGGTTTAACTCATGTTTAAACATATTTTCAACAAATTCTCGTTTAAAGTCATATTCTGTTTGAATTTTTCCTGATACAACATATTCGTAATTATAGCCCCCATTAGCATCCAATTAGCTACGCACCTGCAAACCGCGTTCTGCATTCAGCAGAGTGACAGTCGGCAATTTACCTTTGAGTAGATAATCCAATATGGCGGCGGAAGGTGAAATGCTAAACATAACGGTTTATTATTGAGTAAACGTGCATTTATTATTCGATTCAGGAGGATTCAATTTACAGAAATTTTTCAAGGTAGATTATTTGACGATGTCACTGGACTTATTTTTGTTTAAAGTTTCTGTTGTCTGCATTTCCTGTTATTGCAAAACTTTATAAAAGTTTGTTTGACTTTTCGTGAGGTTCACCAAGGGGTATTTGGAAATGTAAGGTATATATCTCTTAAAGATGTGTAGGTCTCTCTAAATCATGGAATAAAACTGTGTGATGTATCTGAAATGTATTTTTATGCATAAGTTTAAGTTCTAAATTGTAATTAATGATAACGGATATTTATGTGAGTGTTCTTTAAGTTCTGACCATCAATTCATTGGAAAGTTGATATGGCATCCAAGCTTTATTGTGAATGGATTTTATTGGATATTTAAGTGCCAAATAGATATGCTTAATTGCTGAAATCATTGAATAACTTATTCTTTGAGCAGTGGATTCATGGACATGATTTCAACAGGTTTTATTATGTTTAAATTGTTTTATTAATTCTTAAAAATTTAGACCGTTGACCTGCAAAATTAAAACTGTTCAATAGATTATTTTTTTTAACTTGGCATTTTGTTAGAATAAGATAAGAGAAACATTTTAAGCGTGAAAAAATTTTGGGTCACCATTCTCATGTTCGAGTTATCTGCACTTGAATTGGACTTTCTAAATTCAAGGGCAGATAATTTACAATGAAAGGAAACAATATCTTTTTTTTTGTTATTTTCATGAAGCTTACCTCGTTTTAGTCAATATGCAAAATTTCAAGAACAAATTAATATTGGCTAGTTTTTTTTCCACTTTTTCTCTTAACCTCTGGCTTTTGGAAAAAAAGGCCTTTTTTAAGAATTTTAAGTAAAAAAATAAACAGAAATAGTATTTATAAGGAAATTGCATTTGATTATGTATTTTGCTCAACAATAAAAAGAAAAGCATTATCCAAAAGTAAAAAAAACAAGAATTAATTGACGTACATATAAGTTATCTGCTTTTGAAATGACCTCAAATAAGTAGAACATTTTCATTCAGGGGCAGATAACTCAAATACAAGATTGGAGACCCCAAATTATTTTTCACTATGAATGTTTCTGTTTCCGTATTCTAACAACATGCCAAGTTTGAAGAAATTTCTATGGAACAGTTTTAATTTTGCCTATAATTTATATGTCTTTATGAAAACCCCGAAAACATCCTTAATTCAATAATTGCTATAAATTAACATTTATTTTTAATAATTTGTTAAATTCAAATTCAAAAGTTTCTTGTATAATCAGGCCAACAGCCCATACACAAAATTATTACATATAATATTACAGTCATGTGAGGCAATATGCTTAATGTATTAATTGTTTTAAGTAATATTTGCATTGAAGTTATCTATTTGACAAATAACAGCTCTAAAAGTTGTCACTTAAAATTACACTGTAAATTACAGCCATCATCACCTAGGTCTAAGGTCATTTTCAAGTGCAGATAACTCAAAACTGAGGCATTGATCAACACCCTGGAGTCATTTCATTTCAGATTTATGTTTGTTACATTGATATCACTGTGACACATGTCATGGAGTAAAATTTCCTGATACATTATGCAATAGATTTTATGCAATAAATGCCTAGTTATGCTAAAATATATAGAAATTTTCTTCTAGTTATAACCCTTTTTTAAAAGAAAAATGCAGTACTTATGTTTTCTTAATAAACCATAGCAAAATGTCTGTTAAATGGAATTGTTTTAAATAACATAATGACTTAAAAATAGAATAACAAACTACTTTGAAAAAAATAGGGTATAAGTATGCATGATTTTGAGTTATCTGCTCTTGAAAATGACCTAAAAGAGTAAAAACCTCACTTTCAGTGCTGTAGGAAATGTCATATAAAAGTAGAAAGTAGAAACTAAAAACATAAAATTATGTGAAATCATAGTTATTTTTAGTTTGACTATCTGAAATTTTAAGCTATTGTACTCACACAGACTTTGGCATCACACTGTGGTTAAGTTCTTGCAATGCAAGTTGGTGTCTCTAAATCTGCTGAAGGGAATAAGTTTAAACTTCATACATTTACTTGAGAGCATAATAGGAGGTCACTGTCCTAGGCCCATTATAACTCAAACATCATGAATCTTGACAGGATTGTGGGCTTTGTGGCCAATTTTGAACTTGGAAAATTTTACATTATTCAGGCTGTTATTTTGCTGTCGAGCACTGAGAATAGTGAAACGCCCGTCAACAGCTGTTGTTGTTTTTTTTGTCAGCCTCTTAGGTTAATTAAAACCACTGTATTTTGTTTTCCAGATGTAGAACCCAGAAAAAATGGATTTACTCTCATTTTGACAAAGAGAACTTCAAGCTAAATCATGGAAGAATCCGTTGTAAATGAAGATGGGGAGAGTGTGTCAAAAGAGAAAATTTCCCCTAAAATTACGCGACCAAAATTGCCAAAATTTAGTAGCCATACTTTGGGTCATGTCAGACATAAAACAGATCCAGGGAAAGCCGTGGAAATTAAAAACTTGATGGAAGAAATTAAGAAATGGAAAGATGGAAGTGTTTTTGACAAGTCTATCCGCCCGAAGATTATTAAACCTCAGACTATACCAAAGGCTCATTCGACCCAGACCTCACCTCGAGCTTCGCCCCCACCTGGATCACCAAATTTTGGGAACAGAGGCTCAAGTTTAAACCGAAATAGAAGCAGAAGTTTGAAATTACTTACAGACAAATTAAAAAGCCCTCGTGGAGGGACTAAAGAAACTTTAAGTCCAAATAGTAAAATACCAAAAATGAGGGATGAAAATATGAGATCAAAAAGTGCTGATGCATCATATAATAATGCACCACTCTTTCCTGAAAATATAAGTCAGACACCTGAAGAAGGAAGCGATATGTCAAAGGAAGTAATGACTTGCAGTGTCGAAAGTGATAAGGTAGGAACTGTGGAACCAATACCTGAAAAAGATGAAAGAGATGAGGAAGATGAAAAATGTGATAGAGGATCAACATCGTCATGTGATACAGTAGGAACACCGGAAAAAGCTAGTCAGAAAATGGAATTTAAACCAGCTAGGGATTCACCAAGACCGGGTGAAGAGGACAATACTGTAATGTCTGATAGTGACACACAAACGACACATGTCAGTACATATACCTTACATCCAATTGATAGGAACTCTGAATTCTTGAGATTACGACAAACCGCTCCACCAAAGCGGCGACCTGGTTACGCAGGTTTATCACTGCCAAAGACTAAAATACCTCCATTATTAAAATTTCAGACAGATGACACAAAAGAAGGTACGGATGAAAATTCTTTAAGAAGAGTATCTTCTGTTAATGAAGGAAGTCCTAAAAAACCAAATAGATTAGATTTATTGACTTTAGGGGGAAGTGTGCGGAAGTTATCAACTCCAATATTTCCATCTAAAAGAGATGAATGTAAGTTGGATTTAGCTGGATATAATATATTCAGAAGTCCTACTAAGGAAAGTCCGCCATCTTTAATGGGGAATGAGACAGTGTCGTCTAGTGATAATGAGGTTCCAACAGAAATTAAAGAAACTTTAGAAGAAGGTAATAAGATTGAAGAAGAGGGAACAACCCCTGAACCTGTTGAACAAGTCGTTGCAATACCAACTGAAACTGAATCAGACAAACTTGAGAAAAGAAACAGTAGATCACCTAAGCAGAAATCAAAAAGTGATCCAAGTGGGAATAAAAGTTTTAATTTCGATGTATCAGGTGTTATTAATTCTTGTCAAAGTCAAAGCTTTCCACTTTTGCAAAAGGATAAAGTTGATGATTCTGTTATGGAAAAAGATGAAGAACAAAATATTGAACGGGAAAATGAAAATGTAGTTAATGCTGATAAAGAACCAAGTGATCTAGATGTATTAAATAACAATCAAAGTGAAGATTCAGAGCAGCAAGGAAGTGTGAGCTTTAGTGAACCATTAACTTCATGTTCAGAAACAGAGCGGTCTGGAAGTATGTCAGAGGATATTATATTCTCGCCACAAAGTGATATGTCAGAACCTTTTGATGAACTTGGATATCAAAGTGCTGAGGAAACCTTGCCACAGGCTGGTATGTATGAGGCACCTCAGCGACTAGAATCAGGAGGTATGTCTCCTGTTCAAGAACATGAGGGTGATGATCATGAAGGAATTGAATTAGCTACTTCAACGTATTCTTATGGTTCAGAAAGTTCAACTTCAACACCAGTTAGCTATTCACCTACGGGTATGTTAGAAAAACCAAATAACTTACTTAGTGTTCCGTCACCAAAACGTCCAATTGCTAGAAGTGTGAGTTCAGCGAGTGTATTACAGCGAGAAAGAAAATATAGTTCAAGTAAGGATAAAGATTCTGGTAGAAAACATTCTTTAACAACTGTAGAGGATGGTGCACAAGCTGATACTAAAACAATGGATTTTTTACCAATCGGAGACAGTGGAAATATCATGGCTAGTAGTATGCCATCAGTATGGAATACTGATCGTCACCCGTCTGTATCACCAGAAAGGGACTCTCAATATGTAAAGGTAAGAATCGAAATGCAATGGCATGTAAATTACTTAATTAGCAGACATTATTGTGTCATCATAATACAAGGTACACTTTCAGTACTGATTGAGAGCTGTATGAACACAGTCGGTTTATGAAGTAGTCAAAATATATTGACATGCCAAAGCTAGATTCTAAGATGTTTGTTTTAGGTCAGAATCTCACTTCTATGTAGTAGAGGGTAGATGATTGCCCATACACAAAATAGCACAATATCTTATCCTGTAGTACAATTATTAGTTGAACTATATATTAAAGAAGAGAAACAAGATGTCATGTTATATTCATTAAATATTGTTAAACTTATTGAAAGAAAATAAGGAAAAACAACAAGTATTAATGCAGGAATCAATTAGATTCTGAAAATCAAATTAATAATGCACTTTATCACAAATCTGAAATCAGTTAGGAGATTTTCTGTAGACTTCCAGTATACTATATATTATACAATAATGAAAAAATGGGGTTGGGATGAAAAACTTATTTAGTATGATGCAAATGAACAATGTATCACCTGGTAATAGAAGCAGAATGAACAGTATTGTTTTAAAATGATTTATGTTTGAGAATGGAAACTTGTATGTCAGTTTAATCCCCACACCTTGATATATCAGACAATGTAACAAAAGGCGAAAAAAAGATTATTAGCATGTATGCATAAATAACTAAATGGGTGGAAGTTTTCTGTAGAGCATTTCTAAGTGATCAACCAGTTATTGCACTTCCTTTCACTTATTTTTTTCTTTCTTTTTCTCATCAAAATCTGCATTTTACATTGCGGATATCTTTCTCCAATGGGCTTGGTGTTCTGGTATAAAGATGTGATGTGTTAATTTCCATAAATTTAAGATTTTTGCAGAATTGAAGAATGTTGATTGGTATAATGTAACTGCAGTTAAATTAGTAACATATTAAAATCATTGATGCAGTTATCAGGTTTACACTACAGATAGGATCATCAATATTAAAATTGCAGGAATGAAAATATTAAATTGGGGTTTATTGTCCAGGAGTTCATGGGTAAAACAGTACAAGCAGTTTATTTGATATTGAAACTGACTGTTAAATTATTCCTTACATATTAAATATAATTGTTTCTCTATTATTGGTAAGAACATTACAAAATAAGAAAGATGAAGATGATATGTCCAGTATTTGAACCGTTTTTGTCTCAGCACTTTGGAAACATGACCTGACCCCCAGCATTGGGAATACTTTTGCAAATTGGAAAAATTTGACAACATATTGTACACATCAAATAAGACAAAGAAATCAAATATTTGATTGATTAAACTCCCTTAATATTTCTCTCATAAGCACATCACTATTTGGAATGCAGGATTACAATTTTCTATGGCACCGTGCAGTTAAATGTAACAAAATGACAATAATTTTAATTAATTTTTTTACTCCTTGAAACAGAATTGGGAATTTTCTCCTTGATATTGGGGGAAAATGTACTTTTTGGCATTTGGAACATGACCCAATATTGGCCATCATAAATGGGCCAGTAATAAAACCTGAAATCAAGTTCACAGCAACCTAATGCTATGTATGTCATACTAGTAAAACTTGTCAGTTTATGTGTATAAGTCCTGGGTTCATACGACAGGTGACAAATATTTGTGGGGTAGTACTGTATCATAGCAGATAGCTTCTGTCCACAACTCAGGTATATATTATATCTTTGTGTAACATGACAATATTGAACAGATACTCTTCAGATAAGGGCTGTCTTTCATGTCCTCGTTGACCTTAGATGTATAATTTTGTCCTTAAATTAAAATATCATGTTTGGTCAAAGAAATGGAAGATTTTCATGTCTTCATACATGTATTCAAATATTGTTGTACATGAGAAGTTATTGGTAACTCAGGTCACTACATGGATGTTAAACAGCCGGACAAGCTTGCCATGGAGCAGTGTTGGTCTTTTTGCACCAATCTTATTCAGTAGCAAGAGAGTCACAAAGGGCACTGGATCTTGAACTCTCAAGTTTGAGTCCTTTTTCAATGATTAATGTACATGTATAGCATAGGTACTGAAATTTCAAAACTTGGTCAGTACTGGTACCAGAATCTAGAAGTATTTTCTGTGGTTTCTGCTTGCTGGTAAATGTCTCATATATACATATACAGATAAAAACTCCTGTGGAAAAAACAACATCTTTAATTGTTATGTCATAGTGCCTGAAGTACTGGACAGTATAAAATCCAGGTGTAACAAAATGGTATCCACACGCAATATTGTTTTACGTTCTTGACCTTTCAGTATTACATTTTTTATTTTTATAAATTTTAAAGGGACTGAAAATGCCACAAAGGGAACTGTTTTGACCAATGGTTATTTTCCTTTATTGAGTCATTAAATAATAATTTTTTTGTGGATTAACAAGTTTGCAATGTCATTCAGTTTACATAAATTTATCGGGTTTTATATAGAATTTTTCTAGATATATATAAATTCTCATTAAACAAGGTAAAATTTGATAAAAATTTCAAATCAGAATATTGAAAATAGACAACTTAGATAATCTACTTTCTTATCAGAAATTCATTTACTAACAGTTTAGCTTTGATTTATTTCTGCATAAACCTACTTGAATATATTATATTCGGAAGAAGAAAAAAAGTCTAAAATAACTTCCAAATTGGCAGGCAAGTTTCCCCCATGTAGTGCCCCCCTCAGTAGATAATTTGTATATGTATTTTCAAGTGTACAGGTAGATATGGTGTAAAGGTAAGGGATGAGTGGAAGCTGAAGGCAGATGCTTCAGGAAAACTTGTATATATATCCCCTGGCATATTGCCAGAGCCTCTCTCTTACTCCATAAACATACCTTCCAAAGTTCTCAATGCAAATTTCTGCCAAATCATTGATTTTCATGTGGTAGTAAACTTACTGCAGTCTCATAATTTGTAATCAGTTTCAAATATAAAGGTAAATATAGAAATTTAGAGCAAATTTTATAATGTTTTCTAAAAGCTAGATCAGCTGCTGTATTGCTGCAGTGTTATGATTTTAGGGCGTGTGCAGTGATTCTATATATAAATACACAGATATTAATAAATGAGTGAAAAAAGCACATGTACAATATATATATAGATATCTTGAAAGTAGACATACAATTGAAATCATATAACAATGAGTGCTAGCATGGCAGATTGGATAACACATCAGACTAATCTAGGGATTGGATTGCGGGCCGCATGTGGTCAGGGGCAAGTCGTTGTTTCCTTGAGCAAGAAACTTAACACTCATTTCTCAGTACTGGAATCCAGGAACGGATTTGAAACTTCCAACAGAATCAAAATAAAATAAATTCTGTATAAACCAAACTGCCAGGGGCAAGCTTATTTTTCCATGAGCAAGAAAAGTTACACTCATTACTTTAGTACCAGGTTGTTCCAGGAATGGATTCGAGAGTGTTTCAATAAGCTGGTAGCTTCCTACACAATCAAAAATAAATTAGTATAATTATATTAAAAAATAAAATAAATTAGTATATATTAAAAAAAAATCTAAATCATATAAATTAATGAATATGTCATAGTTCAGAACTGTTCACTATTGAGAATATGTGTAAGTCAGGTGGTAGAGCCACAGTACGAGATTCCATGGTTCCGGGTTCGAGTTTCGGTCAGGCTGCACATTTTTTTCAGCCTGTGACAAATATGGTAACATGAATCAATGATAAGACAAGGTTAAATTGGTTAACTCCTTATTAAAAGAAGTTTTATTATTATTAGGTACTATATTTATTACCTGAACTTAGTATGATCATTCGATGTGAAATCAAATCAAACAAAACTTCAGATAACATTCGGTGCAAGGTCACATTATTAAGAAATGGTCTTGTTTTTGTCACGTCAAAGCAATTCTTCTCACCCTAATACAGGTTGACATTTTAATTTGGCAATAAGATTGCTTTTAAAAATGTCAACTTGTCAGTGTTTGTTATTTAAACTGTTAAAATCCTTATATAACCGATCCTTCGCTACTGTGCAATATATACTAGGGGAGTGGGGGAATGCTTTAAATTAACAGGTTATATTACTGGTATTTCAAAATGTACCTTAAATTTTTAATCATTTATGGGCAGTAAAATCACACTTTCATATTGCCATATATCAGATTTCAAAACTAAATATTCACAAAGAAGGGGCCTGACAGAACGTGGCAGAGTGGTTTCAAATTTCTTGCACCTTACTGCTGTAATTTCGATAAAGGTTAGGGACTTTGGATTTTTTCATGTGAGTTTGGAAGATGCATTTAGGTGTTTTTACTGCCTGAAAATAAGGCACTTTTAACTGAGGTCATTCAAGCTCAACACATGAAATTCCCTGTTCCATCAAGTTACAATTCTTTCTCCATGATTAAAGCAACAGTTCTTTTCTCAGTAAAGCAACAATTATTTTCTTCTTAATTAAAGCAACTCTTCTTTTCTCAGAATTATATACAACAATTCTTTCCTCAGTACACCAACAATTCTTTTCTCTGTAAAGCAAAACATTTTTTCTAAATGATGCTAATTTTGAAACTGTGCATTATTGTCTAAGATCATGTTTTTACTGAAAATAGCATTTTCTGTTAAAATCTTGATTTCTTTTGATAAATTTAGCAGGAAACAAAAACATTTAAAAATGTAAAAATCTAGGATTATTACATAAATCTGTAACAGCGTAAAATGAATGTAACCAGATTTATTGCAAGTTTTATGATTTTCTTCTAAATGAATGTAGTTCTACAGTTCTACTTAATCACAGGGGTTAATTTGGTCAAGCAATATTTACTTTTGGTAAATTTAGCTAAGAATTTAATGATATAAATATTTGTGGCTATATTTGCTCATATTGTAACTGTGAACTCAAAATATTTACAGTATGTTTAGTAATGGAGTTAAGTAAATAGTCCCCTTTATGATCAGAGATTTATCAATCGGAAATTTCATTATAGTTTTCTCTTGAGATATCTTGTT